AGATTGGTTAAGCCAAAACAAGTATTATGAGAAGAACAACAATAATTAATTGAATAAAAATATCAATTGAATAAAAACAAAAAAGAATTACATGAAGTATGATAGCTATGTCAATCCCCAACACTAGTGAATTAGCCACTCATGACTAATTAATGAGATCACACAAAGAAATAAAGGAAGACTTTCAAGAACTCTATAGTGGCTAATGTTAATCACTCTATTTTTTCAAATTTCTCTAAAATGTATAGTAAGTGAAGAAGTTTCTCTATTCTCTCGAGAACTAACACTACTAGAAAAATAAAAATTAGAGAAAGAACGAAACTATCACTAAATTTTATAAAATCTGTCACAAAATAAATTAGTGACGGAATTTGTGGTAGAACTGATTTCGTCACAAAAATTGGCGTCACAAAATATTTAGTGAGGGATAATTTCAATCCGTCATAATTAATGGTGGAATTAAGGCATCACAAATAATATATTCTTCGTCACTAATTTCTAATAATAAATGTTCATAAATAAATAAAATTTCGTCGTAATTTGCGACGACCTCTAAGTTCGTCGCAATTTGTGAGAGATTAATTCCGTCACAAATTTGTGAGGGACTAACTCCGTCACAAATTTGTGAGGAATATGTGCCTCTTATTAACGTCACAAGTTGAGAGGGATGTACGTCCGTCACAAATTGTGATGAATAAAATCCATCACAAATTGCGATGAATAAAATCCGTCACAAATTGTGAACTATTGATCTTATTTAGTGAAGGACTTTTTTCGTAACGATTTGTGAAGAATATGTTTTTCTCCTCTAGTTGTGATATAATTTTTTAATTATGAATATAGAAAATAAATTATTAATTAATCCAAAAAGCTAAATTTATTAATTGTCTATTTGTTTAAAAAAATTAACAAAATAAATAATTAAGAAAAATTTCTCAATTTTAGAAAAGCATGTAACTAAACACCAATATAAGAAAGTCAAGCATACGATAGATATAAATAACACCATATATAACAAAGTTAAGGACTTTAGTTGATCCCTAATGTATGATAAGTACTATAGTAAAACTTAAACATAACAAAGTATAAGTTTAAAGCATAGTAAATATTAATAGTATACTGAAAGATAATGCATCCCTAAACATCTATATCATGATCATCATCTAACTCATTATCATCAAATTGTATAGTGTCTGCATCATGTGTAGGAGGAGGATGGGGAGGACGAGAAGATTGAGAAGCCAACCCACCAAGAGAAAATGTCTCCATAAATTGCTTCAGTTGCTCACGAACCAATCGAGACTCTTCCTGTGAAGCACGAATCAAATCTGCATGGCTTTGCAATTGTTCTTTCAATGTTTTGTTTTCTTCAAACAAAATTGAAACAAGATTCTTCATTTGTTCATACTCAGAATTTGAGATACCATATGAGAATCTAGAAGAAGAAGGTTTATACTTCCCAACCTCTGAATCTAAACCAAATAATTCTTTTTTTTATTATTTAATTAAATGAATTTCATAATTTTTTCAGTCTTTTCATGAATTTTTTTTTTTTTAATTTCATAATTTTTTAAATTTTTTATTTTTTAACATATATTCTTTAATTCTGCATAATTCTTAGATATAAAAGTTTCATAAATAAAATTTAATATTTTGAGAGGGATCAATAATTACTCATAAATTTTGTCACAAATTTTTTTAGCTATTTGTGGCGGAATTTGTGACAAAATACAAATGTTGACAAACATTCTGTCACAAAATCCATTACTAACTTATTTATTATAGTATTGTGACACATTTTTGTTAGGGAATATCTATAAAGGAACTTAATCCGTCACAAAATCTGTCACTAATTTTATTTTTCTATTTAGTGACGAAAATTGTGACGGATCTTTTAGAGACGAAATTTAATTTGTCACAAAATCTGTCACAAACTTCAATAAATGGTAGTCCATCACAAAAATTAAGATTTTCTCACAAAATTCATCAATATTAGTGACGATATTTCGTACGTCACAAACATTTGTCACAAATATTAATTTTTCTAGTAGTGTAATTTTATAATGTTTTAAATGAGCTTTTTTTCGTGTAAACTTGCTCAAGTGACAAGGTTGGCTCCCTTAAGCGAGCTTGGCATTACTAGGTTAGCTCATTGAAAGAGCTCAGATAACTTGCTTGAACGAGCTCTTCATGGTGCTCCGGGGGTATCTTCTAAACTAGCTTGCTCAAAGTGATCATTTAACTCACTTGAGCGAGCATTAAATCGCCCAAAACTTACTTTCCACTTGCTTTAATGAGTGTTTCCTATGTTCATCTCCTTTCACCATTTCTTCATCTCTTTGTAATTTAGCTTCCTCCTCCTTGTATCTCACACCCAAAAAAAAAAAAACTAAGACTTAACAACTCTATTAGCCAAACAAAACTTAATTTAAATTACTTACTTTTTGATAAAAACAAACTCTAAAGCATAAAATGTATTCGATAATTACCTAAATTGAATAAAAGGTATTGTACTATCCATACTGCGAAACCGAGCTCCGAGCTCGGCATCACAACGCAACATGACCTCGGGCACGCGCTACGCGACGTCAGCTCGACATTTAAGTAGATCATAACTGATCTCGGGGAATCTCGCTCCAGACGAGACCCATTATCTAATCTTATCATATCTCATATCAGGCCCACGGCCCAAAGAAACCCTAATTCACACTAAGGTACGTGCATTACTTATACGAGACTCATACTCATACAAACCCTAACTTTAGCATCAGAGTCTCTTTTGCAGGTACCACCCCCATCTTGGAGCATCAAGCGTACCAGCGAAGGAGGCTCACCAATCTTACTCGGAGGATCATCTCTACAGCAGATTTCTGGTAAGAACATTTGGCGCCCACCGTGGGGCTGATCAAGATAGCTCTTATCGGCCACGCTTATGGTTTGCACCAGAAGCCATAGCAGACGCGTAACAGACGACCTAGATCATCCATCTCCCATGGATAGCGAAGCAGCATTTAGGAGGTTGATCGATCAGGTCAAACAGATGCGGCAACAACACGACGCCGATCTGTAGGACATGCGCGCCAAGCATAAAACCAACCTAGTCGCAATGCGGACCGCCAATGAGGCTGACCTAGTGACGCTACGCGCGGAAAACGAGCGGATTCGCGCCCAACTCCCTCGACGACACTCTAATCATCCTCCTCATGCGAGCAACCACAATGAGGAGGAGGAGCACTCAGTCTCTCAACCCCGGACCGCGACTAGGGCACCGACTCAACGACCTGCCACGCATCGGTCCCATGCACCGACCACAAGACGGCCCATGAAATCAGCAAGGCCCCTACTCATATCCCAGGGGATCAGGCAACCTTCCGCCGCCACCCTTTTGTGGATGGCATCATGGAGACACCACTCCCTCATGGGTGGAAGTCTCTCCACCTCGATCGCTATGATGACACAACGGACCCAGATGAGCACATCGACCTGTATACAACACAGGTAAACCTCTACACTAACAATTAATGATGTTATTCTGTGTATGGTTTTTCCGACCTCGCTTAAGGGGGCCGCGCTCAACTGGTACACCCAACTACCCGCCAAGTCCATTGATAGCTTCGGCACCCTAGTCAGAAGGTTCACATCGCAGTATGCGACGAGCCGACCTCACCATGTCACTCCGGCCGCCCTGGCCAGCCTCAGGCAGGACGACGACGAACCACTCCGGGTGTTCATGGAACGATTTGCTGCCACCTCGGTTAAGATCAAAAATTTGAACCCTGAGGTCGCCCTACATGCCATGCTTATGGCACTTAAGCCCGAGCCATTCGCCGACAGCCTATGTCGTGAGTCTCCCCGCGACATGGACGAGCTCCGCGCTCGCGCTGCAGGATACATCCAGATGGAGGAACACTCCGCTTTCCGTGACCAAATTCGTGGAAAAAGACCAACGAAGATAGAGCAGAGTCACAAGGATAAAGTAAAAGTCAACAATGACAGCCAGTTCAAGAAATTGGCCAGAGCAAACAGAGGGGGGAGATATGACTTCTACACTCCCCTGAACACATCCAGAGTCCGCATTCTGGAGGAGGCCAATGGCAGCAACCTGCTCACCCTGCCACTGCCAGGCCACACTCCCAACAGTGCGGACAAGTCCAAACACTGCCGGTACCACAAGAATCACGGCCACACCACCGAGGAGTGCCGCACACTCCGAGACCGCATTGAAGAACTCATCCAATCAGGCCACCTCGGCCACTATGTCCAGCGAAGTCACCAGGGAAGCTACGGTGGACCAGGACGAGACATAGGACATGGTTCAGGAGCTCGCACGGACCAACCCTCTGGCTCTCAACTCAACCCCGGTGAAGCAGTGCAAGCCGAGGTAAGCCAGGAAACGGGGCCAGCTCCCCTACGGGGAGTGATCAACACAATTGTAGGTGGTTTCGCAGGAGGGGGCGCCAACAGCTCGGCTTCCCCTACGGGGAGTGATCAACACAATTGCAGGTGGTTTCGCAGGAGGGGGCGCCAACAGCTCGGCTCGCAAAAGACACCTGCGCAATATCAACTGCATACACCCTACCACCTCAGCTTCGCACCAGAGCTCACCGATGATTACTTTCTCCGACAACGACTATGTCGGGGTCAATCCCAACCAGGATGATCCCATGGTTATAACTGTGGAGTTAGCCAATTGGGAGGTTCACAAGACACTGATCGACCAAGGGAGCTCGGTCGACGTCCTGTATTGGCCAACGTTTCTCAGGTTAGACATCCCCCACTCTCTCATACAACCTCACACAGAGCCCCTAGTCAGTTTTGCAGGAAAGAGAGTTCACACTCGGGGGTACGTGGACTTACTGACAACTTTCGGAGCACCTCCGGACACAAGGCAGGTCATGGTTCGGTACCTCCTCGTGGAAGCCAACACTTCCTACAACATAATCATCGGGAGGCCGACCTTGAATCAACTCGGAGCAGTAGTGTCCACCCCACACCTCACCATGAAATTCCATGGGAATGATGGGAAGATTATCTCTGTCAAGGCGAACCAGAAGACGGCACGACAATGCTACACCAAAAGCCTGAAGATCGCCTCACCCGGTGAACAATGCAAAAGTGGCCCTCCCACCGCAGCTCACATCAACCACGAAGAAATCACTGATCTCGATCCGAGATCCGACTCTCATGACGAACGGGCAAGCCCCGTCGACGAGCTCGATGACCTCCAGATCGGAAAATTTCCCAGGCAGTGCACAAAGATCAGCAGACAGTTGAGCCCGAAGTTGCGACAGCAGCTCAAAGCAGAAATCCTCAAAAATGCTGACCTCTTTGCCTGGTCCAGCGCTGACATGCAAGGTATAGACGCTGACTTCATCTGTCAGCGGTTAGCGATACACAAGGAAGCAAAGCCAGTGGCCCAAAGAAAGAGAAAGGTCGGTGGTGAGAGGCGAGAGGCCATCATCACCGAGTCACAAAAGTTGTTGAGCGCCGGCTTCATCCGTGAAGTCAGGTACACCACATGGCTGGTGAATGTGGTTCTGGTGAAGAAGAGTTCGGGAAAGTGGCGCATGTGCGTCGATTACACCGACTTGAACAAAGCATGCCCCAAGGACTCATACCCCTTGCCAAGCATTGACAGGCTGATCGACGGAGCATCCGGGCACGCCCTCCTCAACATCCTCGACGCCTACTCCGGGTACAATCAGATAATGATGTACCCACCCGACGAGGTGCACACGTCTTTCATCACCGACCACGCCAACTACTGCTACCGAGTGATGCCCTTCGGCCTCAAAAACGCAGGGGCAACTTACCAGCGACTGATGGATAAGGTTTTTCATCAGCAGATCGGGCGGAACATGGAAGTCTACGTCGACGACATGGTGGTCAAAACCACCTCGGCAATAGACCATGCTATCGATCTCGCCGAGGTGTTCGCCCAGATCAGAAAGCACAACATGCGTCTCAACCCGGAGAAGTGCGTTTTCGGCGTTCAAGGGGGCAAGTTCCTCAGTTTCATGATCACTAGTAGAGGAATGGAGGCCAACCCCGAGAAATGCAAAGCCATCATCCAGATGCAGAGTCCGCAAACGATGAAAGAGGTCCAACGCCTAGCAGGAAGGTTAGTCTCACTATCCCGATTCATCCCCAAACTCGCGGAGAAAGCGGGGCCAATCTTCACCCTGCTAAAGAAGCCAAAAGACTTCCAGTGGACAAGTCAGTGCGAAGAAGCTTTCCAGAGCTTCAAAACCTTTCTCTCGACCCCACCGATCCTACAGAGGTCAAATCACAATACCGACCTCCTACTCTACTTGGCCATAGCAAAAAACGCCATCAGTGCTGTAATAGTGCAAGAAAACCAGAAGACGCAGACGCTGATCTACTTCATCAGCCGAGTCCTCCAGGACGCGGAGAAGCGATACCAGACAGTTGAGAAGTTGGCGCTAGCACTCGTCACCGCGGCCCGACGTCTCCGACCATATTTTCAAAGCCACCAGGTGGTAGTCAAAACCGACTACCCCATAAAGCAAATCCTAAGTAAATCGGAACTCGCCGGACGAATGATCGCATGGTTAGTAGTTTTTTCCGAGTTCAGCATCCGATACAAAAGTCGCGGCGCCCTGAAAGCCCAGTGCCTGGCTGACTTCGTAGCCGAGCTCACACCTGTTACTGCCGAGGAACCCCAGGTATGGACTTTACACGTTGACGGGTCCTCCAACTCTAAAGGTGGTGGTGCAGGTATCATTCTGGAGGGGCCAAATCAAGTTACCTTGGAACAATCCCTCAAGTTCAGCTTCAAAGTGACCAACAACCAGGCAGAGTATGAGGCACTCCTCGTAGGACTAAGGCTAGCCCGAAGAGTGAGCTGCAACAGCGACTCGAAACTCATGGTCGAGCAGCTCAATGGGACGTACCAGGCAAAGGACACCTTTCTGCAACGGTATTTCCACATCGCATCCCAGCAGATCTCGTCCTTCGACGAGTTTGCCATACAGCATGTGCCGCGCGAACAAAATGCCCAGGTTGACCTCCTATCGAAGCTTGCCAGTACCAAAAAGCTTGGACAGCACCGAACTATCATCCAAGAGACCCTACACTCACCTAGCTTCGATGACAAGGTTGTCAACGTCAGCGACAGTGGAGACCTGGGCTGGATGACGGGCATCTGGAATTACTTGAAAGAGGGTACCTTGCCCAAAGACAAAGACGAAGCTCGGAAGATGAGAATGAGGTCGGCCAAGTTTGTCGTTGTCGGAGACGAACTATTCAAACGTGGCATTTCCACCCCGCTGCTCAAGTGTTTGACCGCACCCCAAGCAGCCAACGTCATCGACGAAATTCATCGGGGCATATGTGGCTTGCATTCCGGAGCTTGCTCGATGGCCACCAGAGTACTCCGGGCTGGATATTACTGGCCCACTCTGAAGTCAGATTGCCAAGATTACATACAGAAATGCAAAGAATGCCAGCAGTTCAGCAACACACACCGGCAACCGCCCGAAACCCTCCACCACATGATGTCGGCATGGCCTTTCTCCCAGTGGGGAATGGACATCCTCGGGCCATTCCCCCTACGAAAGGCCAGCTCAAGTTCCTCCTCGTGGCAATCGATTACTTCACCTGGAGAAATATCATTTGCAGATTCAGAATCCCTCACACCCTTATTACTGACAACGGCCGACAGTTCATCGCACAGGGATTTGAGGACTTCCTCCGAGAGCTCGGTATCAAGCATCTTCCAACCTCAGTGGAACACCCCCAAACCAATGGCCAAGCCGAAGCAGCCAACAAAGTCATCCTCCGGGAACTCAAGAAACGGCTGGGCAACGCCAAAGGACAGTGGCCCGACGAACTTCCCCGCATCCTCTGGGCGTATCATTGCACCCCCCAGTCAACCACGCAAGAAACACCCTACAGGCTGACTTATGGAGCTGACACAATGATCCCAGTAGAAGTCGGAGAGATGTCCCACCGACGTCAGGTTTTTGACAGCGAGCAGAACGCTCAAGAGTTGGCAGCTGACCTCGACTTGGTGGACGAGCTTAGAGACAAAGCTCAAATCCACAAAGAAGCATGCAAACTCCGAGCTTCCCGAAGATACAACACTCGGGTACGACCTCGTTCTTTCCAAGTTGGTGACTTGGTGTGGCGATTGCTAGGCGAAGCTCGAAAGGACACGTCAGATGGGAAGCTTGCACCCACTTGGGGTGGCCCTTTCCGAGTTACAGAAGACTTGGAAAATGGAGCGTACCGATTAGAAGAACTCAGCGGAAAACCTATACTGCAAACTTGGAATGCTACGCATCTCAAGTTCTACTTCAGCTGACTTTTGTACGAATGAGTTGTGCACTCTTTTCCCGCATCAGTCTTTTGTCCCAAAAAACAGAAAAAATGGGTTTTGGCTGAGAGAGTTTTTAACGAGGCACATTTATATAATCAATAAAATGACTCATTCTATTCAACTCACATCTTTTTCGCATTATTTTACGTTTTACAATAAATAGAGGTCGAGTTCAAACCAATCTATTTCTCCCCCACTTAAGGTCGAGTCCGAACCTTCACAAAACAAAAATTTAAGGTCGAGTTCGAACCTTCACGAAAATTACTTAAACTTGAGGTCGAGTTCGAACCTCGGTTTGATTAAGGTCGAGTCCGAACCTTCACAAAAATTACTTAAACATGAGGTCGAGTTCGAACCCCGGTTTGATTAAGGTCGAGTCCGAACCTTCATTGAAATTACCTAAATCCGAGGTCGAGTTCGAACCCCAGTTTGATTGAAGTCAAGTTCGAACCTTCACAATATTACTTAGCGAAAATCTGAGGTCGAATTCGAAATCCAGTACGGTCGAAGTCGAGGTCGAACCTTCACTAGAAACTACTTAAAACTGAGGTCGAATTCGAACCTCGGCATGATCAACTCAAGGAAAAATATCACCAAGTATAAGAGCACACAACAACCATCGAACGTATGTCTCAAAATGTGCAAACAGCACAAGCAGAGCCAAGACATAAAGGCAAAGAAAAATATACATATACAAGCAAAGTTTCCAGAGTTCAAAACTTGAATTCAAAACAGAAAATTAAAGCAAGGAAAAATTAAACTAGGCTATTACAAAATTGGCCTACGCAGAGGCATTGTCACTGGAGTTTTCCTCGACGTCATCCTCCTTTACTAGCCTCCCAAAGCGGACAACCTTCTCCACGTGCATCGCGGAGAAGTCAAACCCTGGTGCGATGAGCCTAGCCTACCGGGCGGCCTTGAGGAAACCCCTCTTATGCTCAAAGACAACAGCCTTCTCAGTATCCTCGAGCTTCCTCTCCAACCCCGCCTTGGCTTCCTCCAGGTTCGCCAGCTCTACTTTCAAAGAGGCGACCTCCTCCTCTTTACCACCGAGAAGAACCTCGTCACAGAGACGCTTCTCAGCCGTCGCCACCAGCTCTCCCTTCAGAGAAGTCAGGACATCCTCCAAAGCCCTCACTCGGCCAGGGGCAGATGTCACCTCATCCTCCAAAGAGCGTACACGACCTCGGGAGGAGGTGGCGTGCTCCTACAACTCACCCGCCTGGGAGGCATAAGCCTCGTTGGATCATAGGGCGATCTCGAGAGACTTCTGCACCCTCGCAAGGTCGCCCCTAGCAGCTCGAAGCTCAACCCCCTACAATTTCGCCTCGCCAACAGCGGCCCCTAGAACCTTATTCTCCTCCTTCAGGGCCTTATTCTCCTCTCTCAAAGGTTCAACTCGGCCCCTCAACCCGGCCAGGTCCTCCTGCTGCTTGGACCATTGATGCTTCCAATAGTCCATGATGGCCTCCCCCCTCTACAGGAGAACCTGGGCAGCATCTAGGCCTTCCACAGGCCCGACCGACTTGATCATAGCTTGATCAGCCGTGCTCAGCGACCCTTCAGGAAAAAATTTAGCTGCAGACACCCCAGCGCTCCACCAAGAATCAATGTCCTCCGAGGCACTCAAATGATCCAGCCTCACCACTGCATCCCCGGCCCTTGTGGTAGCGCTGAGCGAGGTACTGGGTTCTAGGAGACCCCTTTGACGGGCCAGTTGATGGCGCCGACGCCACTGGGGTGGGCGTCAGAACTTCAGAGCTTGGCCCCTTCCCACGAGCTTCAACAGAAGCAGGGGCAGACGCCCCCTGCTGGACAATAGGAGGATCCACGCCGAGCACCTCCGACCTCGGGGGCACCGAGGTCCCAACAACGCCCCCTGCCTGCAAAAAGTGGCCCCATGTCAAAAGACACAAGAACAACACGTAAGGTAAAAGGAAAATCGAAAAGAGAAACACTCACCACATCCGCCCGGACGACATGCTCAGCAACCTTGGCTCCTACCACGGCAGCTATCCTGGCCTGCAAAAAGCCACATCGCCTCAATAAATTGAGCAAAATTAACACAGAAGAAATATTGAAGAAAATAAGACACTTACCTCGGTGGAGAGAGCAGCCTGCTCAGCAACCGGGGTCGCCACCTGGGCAGCCTGCTCAGCAACCGGGGTCGCCACCTGGGTAGCCTGAGCAACAGGCTCAGCGACCCGAGCCACCTCCTCAGTGGCCACTGGAGGAGCCCCCTCGGGCGGGGGACTCCCGGTCAAGTCCACCGCCTCGGCATCAGCGGCCTTGGGGGTAACCTCCTCCGTTTCGCGAGGGGCAAAGGTTCCCCCGACCTCTTTCACGCCCCTCTTTCTTTTTCGATTGACCTTCAGGGGGGAGCCCTCCTCCTCTTGAGGCTCGGGGACCTCGAGCTCGGTAACATTGTAGCGGTGCTTCAGCTCACGCCACAAGTTCTTCCCCATGATTCATGCAAACAGAAAACAAAACACATCAGCAAAGGAAAATTACACAAACCCTAACAAACTACCAAAACACAAGATACTCACTCTCCAGGACCCTCTCCCTGTGCGCCGAGTTCTCGAGCGACAGGATGAGCTTGCAATCCAGCGGCCGAGGGAGCGCCTTAAGATCTTCAATGGCGGCCAACTCCGCAACCGTCAATTACAATTGGCCCTCCTTGTGAAACCTAGACGGTTTGGGGGCACCAATAGAAGGGGAACTTCGGCAACCCGCCAAAGTAGAATGCCCCATCCTCCATCGGGTCGACATCCACAAGGGCAACCCGAAAAAATTCTTGTTTAAAATTTTTGTATGATTGGGAGTAGAAAGTGAACAAACCCCCATCCCTACCCCCATTCAGAGACAATATGTCGTAAGGAGGAATGCCTAGCTTCATCTGATAAAAATGACGAAAGACGGGAAGAGACACCTCTATCCCTATAACTGTACAAAGGACTTGAAAAGCCCACAAAAAACCCCAATTGTTGGGGTGCAACTGGCAAGGAGCCGAGTTGATAAAGTCCAAAAAATCACACTCAAATTGAGTGAAGGGAAGACAGACACCCAGGTCTATGAAGAAACACTGGTACATATAGAAATGGGGAGGGTTAGTGGACCTCCCCATATACACACCCTCATCGGCCTGACAGGGTTCAAGCCGGATCATCCGAGAAATGGAAGGGTCACAAATCCAGTGTGTCTTCCAAATCGCGTTGACCTCAAGGAATGACCGGAACACGCTTTGGACCCCGGCCATATCACGTTTGACCCAATCGTAACCAGGAACCCCTGGCTCTAGATCCTTAGGCGGATCACTCTTCTCAACGGTGGCCTTTCCAGCAACCGCCGCCTTGCCACGCCCTCTGCCCCTACCCCTGGCAGGCGCAGAAGACCCGGCACCACTCTCTCTACCCATCAAGAAAGCGAAAAGACTCGAAGATGGGAGAAAGGAGAGAGAACAGAGAAATCGAAGTACCTGGTACCCCTTTGACAAAAGAAAGAATGAATAGGAAGAGGCGAAACCCAGTTGTCGGAAACAGCGACGGAGACCGAACGGAAGCGAAGGTGCAGGAAGCAGCTTGCGCAAGAAACTAAAGGAGAAAGAGAATGAAAAGAGTAAAGTGAAAGGGGAAGGGGCGCAAGTAAGAGAAAAGGGGGTTTTCTAAAATTCAAACGACCACAACACGTGTCAACCAGGGGGCACGCCTGATCACGCATTAAATGAGGCCATCATTGCATAATCGTCGCGCCCATTAACACGTCGACCTCGGTTATCGAAACGAGAAGCGACAGTTACGACACATGGCACCTTGACAAGCCAACGTACGCGAAGGGTCACTTCCCTCCAGCGAGCTCGGTCTTAACTCCTCGACCTACGGTCTTCGGAGCTCGGGGGGCTAGTGTACTATCCGTACTGCGAAACCGAGCTCCGAGCTCGGCATCACAGCGCAATATGACCCCGGGCACGCGCTACGCGACGTCAGCTCGGCATTTAAGTAGATCATAACTGATCTCGGGGAATCTCGCTCCAGACGAAACCCATTATCTAATCTTATCATATCTCATCTCAAGCCCGGGGCCCAAAGCAACCCTAATTCACACTAAGGTACGTGCATTACTTATACGAGACTCATACTCATACAAACCCTAACTTTAGCATCGGAGTCTCTTTTGCAGGTACCACCCCCATCTTGGAGCATCAAGCGTACCAGCGAAGGAGGCTCACCAATCTTACTCGGAAGATCATCTCTACAGCAGATTTCCGGTAAGAACAGGTATTAATTAACATACTTGACAATTATGATATAACCTTAAATTATTCAAACATAATTCATCACTTATAATCAAACAACATTAGAAACAAATGTTCTAAATATAAGTTTTAATCATTTTGGTGGGCTAAAAATATGTCAGACAAATTAGACTTTGTTGGGCTAAATATAACCTATAATATATTTATTAAGCTTGAATCTATAATGTTTACTTGTTATAAACATTTTTTAATGTCTAATCTAACTTCCTTAAAAGTCTAGCCTAACCAAAATGCCTATCTAAGTAGTTTGTTTTATACAAGACTTATAAATAAAGAAATGGCCTAAGTAGGTCAAAAGTAGGTCAATGAACCTAAGTAGATCAATAAATTTTGTTCATGGACTAAACTATGCATGCTTTTTATTTTTATTTTTTATACAATAGCTACACTAAGATTCAAACCTTGAACCTCTAACATACTACCTAACTCCTTACCACTAAATCTAGGCACAAATCAATGGTCATAATAGTGGGGATAATTGCCTCCACTACAATTTTGCTTTTTCTCAATTTGTTTTATATACTATTAAATTTTTTTGACAAAATATATACTATTAATTATATTTGTCCTACTATTTCTAATATATTAAAATATTAATATTTTATAATATATTATATTTTTTTATCAAAATATTTATTACTTCTTTACTCATTAAAGATATTATAATTTAGTTTGCTAATAAAGGTTATTTTTTATTTTAATTTTAATTTTTAACTATTTTTATATTATATATATGTTATATTGTGTGTTGACAAAAGAGAATTCACATTAAGAAAAATGCGAGTAATTGTCACATAAAATTTTTCTTTTTTAACTTAAACATATTTAATAATAATAATAATAATAATAATAATAATAATAATAATAAAATGTACTCATACAAAAAATAGACACTATTTTCATAAAATAATTTTATTTTAAATGAACGTAGAAATTTTCAAGAAATAAAAAACAAAATAAATTAGTAATTTTATTATTTTTAACATACTGGTTTTTATCGTTTTGTTTTTCTAATATTAAATAAGTCGCAAGAAAAAACATAAATTCACACTTGAATATAATATTAAATAAAAAATAAAAAAAGAAATGATTACTTTATTCACGAGACAATTATAATTTATAAAAAAAATAGTTATTCTAGATTTTTTTTACCACAAATATATTTTTCTATAAAATTATTATTTATAAATAAAAATATTATATAATATCTTATTATTTTTACTTGACAAATTTTCTAGATTTGTCACTAACTAGATCAACCTTAATTGTTTTTATTCATAATTTGTGTAAGGACTAATAATAATGTTAAAAAATTTAAGAAACTATTATACTAAAAAAAAAAAACTTATACCATAAGTTCAAATTTTCAAATTTACTAATAAAAATAATAAATGTCAAATATATGAAAAAATAAAATTTACAATTATTAATTAGAACAACTATTGCTCCATAATTAACAAAAATACAAATAGTAAGACAATACACATTTATAAATATAAAAAGGTTAGTAAATATTTGGA